CAATAATTTTTTTTAGAAATTTGAATGTTGAATTAAAACAAAATTTGTCTTAATTAAGAAAATGTTCAAATAATATTGTAATTAAAAATTTATAAAATGTTCAGTTTTTATAAATTATAGCTATAAAGGTTTAAAATTGAGAACTGTTTCTCACAAAAAGTGTAGGTATACTCTATTAAAAAAAATAAAAGATAAAAAACATTTACCCAGTTATTTTTCATTTCTAATTAATTTTTTTTTCTAAGCCGAAATTAGATATTTTAACGACATAAATAACGAGCTTATAAATAGTCATTTTGTTGTAAATCTAAAATTATAATTCATGGTAAATGAAACATTTTACATATATTATCATATTTTAAGCACAATGACATTTTCAAATTTTCGGCAATAGTTCGATCTCTATTAATCGTCCACTCGACCAAACAACACGCTTTTTGAATCGCGCTCAATTCCACGTACTCGAACTGTTCGTTCTAAAATTTAGAATCTAAATCCTTGTTGTTGAATCGAACGTGACCAGCATTGCGGTGAACTGTGAACTATCTACATATCACACGGCCGAGACCGTTACTATTTCAAATTTGAAAAACATTCAATATGCTCTTATGATTCCTGTACATCATACAAGTACCTAATACAAGTAACAAGTGTATAATACATGCTGAAAACCATAGTATCATTAGTATCCACGTGAATCACATATATTTAAAAATGTATACGTCGTACACAAAAAACTACATGTGATTTTAAAAGTAATTAATAATTGTCAGTGTCGGCCTGGGATCTAAAGGGCCCATGAGGCAATTTTTTCAAAGGGCCTCTCAAAAATACCCCTTTAACTTTTTTGTTAACAGCTTTCACTGTAGTAAAAAATGTTCAAAATATAACAATATGTAACCACAAAATGTGATATGCATTAAAATTAATTAAATAACTTAACAGAACTAGATTATTGTATTGTTAAATTTATATTAGTAGTCCTTTTAATAAACTTGATCAGTTAGCCACATTGTCAATCAATTTTTCTCAATATTTCTAAAAACAAATTATCAGTACTGACGTAATGTTTATAATATGTTTGGGTGATGCGGCTGTAATTAATGGCTTGGGTATCAGCACGCAGTACGCACACGATCGGTAAATGTACGAGGCCGACATTGATAATTGTTGCTTGATTATACACGTATAGTAAACAGTTAAGCCAATTATACTCAGTATAGGGATTTTCGGCTACTAAAATATTATGTTTATAGTGGTTGCCGATGGATGACTTTGTATCAATGAACAACTATTTTTATATAAAATAACATTTATAAATTTAGTTATTAATGTCCGAATTCGGTAGTATGTTCATGACGCCAGAATTTGATAATTTTGGTCGTACATCTTCGTATATTTTGTTCTGCAGAAATATTTATCACATCATCATCTGCATCATAAAGTTTTAACCTTTTCTTTTTTTTTTGTTCTTGATTCCTTTAAAGTTTTTGATATTCGTATCTTTTCTGCAACTTTTGTAGTTTTTGTAAAATTCCCTTCCAGAGTTGCATACGTCACGAATTTCTTGCAAAGAATTTTTAAGCCCAAGTAGCAAATTGGAGCTTTTTTCAACGATAAGCTTTTGTTTTTTAATGCTTGATTAACACGATTTATACTACTTAATGTTTGATTCCAAATATTAAGTAAATAGAGAAGGTCAAAATTTATTAATTTAAGTAAATTTTTAGCTGTTGATTTTGTTTCCTACTTAAGTTCCGATTCAGAAATATTTTGAAGTACCTTAAATACATCTTTTATTTGTGAGTTCAAATCCTTAACAGCTTGTGCTTTTGAAGCCCATCTGGTATCTGAATGGTCTTTCAATGAAGTTTTTAATATATCCATTAAAATGTTCCATCGAGTAGTTGATTTGACAAAAAAACGTATATATTTTATGTATATAATAGGTATATGAACATCGCGGACAGTAGTAGTCAATTTGGCGGTGCGGGGTTAAACAACTTTACTACTGACAATAGGAAACGTAAACTTATCATCGGGCAAATTTTGAATCAGTCGCAATTTTTGATCAACTGTTTGCAAAACCGCTGGTAAGTTTTTTAGTAATATAGTGTACAATTGATTCGGTACTATGTCGTCGAGTGAATATCGAACCCGCGGAATCACCAGTTGCCATATTGACACTCAATCGTACCGACAAATGTCTTCGCAATTGCGTCGATGGTATCGAATCTCGATCCGGTATCTTCGGTTTGCGGCTATGCAATGTGTAGGTGCTGCTTTCTAATAAAGATGATGGTATCGTGATCATCGGTTGCCGCCTCATTTTGACGAGTGTCTTCGCTGCCGTAGTTTGCAATAATCTGCTGATTCTTAATTCGTCGTTCGTTTCAAGTAGATGTTGACGGTAGTGTTGTTGGCAGAAGAATGAATTGCTCCGTAAATGTAACCGGTTTATATACAGTATTACAGTGTTTTGTACCGACTTGTAAACTACAGGTGTGCTGCCGTGCGTAACTGTGTTTACCGTCAGTATTACGGTTTACCTTGCTATTTATTTATGTATATATTATATTATTATATATAAATATATATATTTGGGGTTTTGGTTGTGATAATAATACTTTTTATTTCGTCACGGTCTACTCTATCCATATCCGTGTTTCTTGGGAATGTAAGATGACTAGAAGGGTTTTAAATTCGCTACTTAGTCCTTACGATAGTGTATTTTTGAGCATGCTGTGTTGTGATAGATGATCCTGAGAAGGACCGTTTTATATAGTAAYAGATGCTCCTCGCGTGTATCAGTTGGCCGTGTTTATTTTTGACCTAATGTATTAAGTCCTCGACTTTAAGTGACAAGCAGGGATTTAGTAGAGGGTATGCGTGAGTATGCGGCACGCATACCCACTTTTCAAATTTTTAAAAGAGAGTATACTAAAGAAAAAAACTTGAGACCGGAAGTATGCGCTGAAAAACATGCGTATACCCACTTCACAAAAATTGTTTTAAACTAGTTGGCAGAATTATTATTATATTATTATGTATTAGGTAAATAAATATACTTTATAATAATATTAATTACATTGTTAAAGTTATTATAATTTAAAATCAACTTAATGACTAATTATATAAGTTATTAATTTATATAATTGAAAGGAGGTGGAGGCGGAGGAGTTTATGCAGGCCGTAGCCAGACCAAATTTTCTGGTGGGGCAAAGCAAACTTTAGGGGGGGCGTTATATATAAAACAATGTCTGTCTAATATTTTTAAGGGGGCAACGCCTTTTCCCACCGTGGCTACTGGCCTAGGTTGATGACAAAAGCTGCCACATATGTAGCATACTCACAAATAACTTTAGGACTACATGCCTGGTGACAAGTCCTTAATTTTTGTACTTGTACAGTTATTTGAGTGCACACTTGTCACTTATCATATGTCAGCACTTAAATAAACTTGGTTTGTATACCTCAATTTATTAACTGCTCATGTGATATAAGTCTGGACTTACTATATGAGTGCAGTTAAAATATTTAAGTTGTGTAGGACTTATTATATTTGACCATAAACAATAGRTAGTTATAAAAAAAAGTGGACTTATAATGATTTGTGTTTGATTACAAACAAGTYCAGTGATATTGTTTTGTTTTTAAATATCCACATAGTAAATAATCATAGCATCAAGGCATTTTCTTATTTTAATCAGATGAGCTCTGATTGTTCATGATTTCAAATTAATAAAATAATGTTAACGTAATATATTTATTAATATGGTTTTATGATAAGACATTGGGTAATATCCAAAAAAAAATGTTTAAAAATAATTTACTAATTATGAAGGTGTTGTATAAGTGTATAAAAATTTAAAGAAATTGAAAATTCAATACTAATTAAAATTTAAGTAGTACACTATATTAAGTTGGTACCACAAAACCCATTTTGAAAAATTTAGAAGTGAGCAAAATGTTGGCTATAGCTATGGTCAAAAATTCAAGTAACTCATTTTAATATCCAGGGTTTAGATTTTAGAATAAATGCATTCAATTACTTTCAATGATTAAATTATATACAATAATAATATACTTATAATACTAATAAAGTGTTTCAAGTATACAAAATTGTTACTTTAATTTTATTTGGATACGTAGGTACCTAAATTGAAGAGCTTTTGTCAATCAATTGTGTCCATGCGTTTTAAAGTTTTATGAAAAAAAATATAATTTGTTTACAAGAAATAATTGTTATAAGTCCATTTCATATTTTAAGTCCATGTCTATCCAAATTTATTATGTCACATAGGTTATAAGTCCACATAATTTTAAAAAAAGAATGCCATGTCACTATAATAAATAAATGTTAGGTATATAAATTCAACGTATATATTAATAGGAATCTACATATATTTTTAAGTTAATTTCATTTTAGAAAAACGAATTGTGTAAATATTATTTATATTATGCGCGCTTAAAAAAAGTTAATATTTAAAATGGGCTCTCCTGCACAATTTCAATATTGTGCCTTATAACAAATGTGCACTAAGCCATTGATATATATTTGAGTATTCTTAATTGAATAAAATTTAATGTTTAGGTAATAAACATATGCAACCAATTTTAAAACTGTATAAATTATGCATTTTTTTTACTACGACATATCAGCATTGCAATTTGTATTATTCAAGTCTCGATCGAATCTTGTGACCATACGTCACAATGTAGAATAATAATATGATTATTATTATTATTATTATTATATAATATGATTGTGTTCAAGACGTATATTTTGTGGTATCAACTATCAAGTATCAATAAACCGTCTGCAAACCGTTTGTTTTCGTTACCTCCATTATAAAATTATTATATTATTATAATATTATACTCTTTTATATGATCAGTGGTACAACTTTACTACTGACTCTAAGACCTAAGTGATTATGACCTTATTGATAATAACAAAACATGATAAGTGTAATCGTTAATACAACCTGTTACCAAAAATGTCTAACTAAAAGTGATATAGTAAAATATTTAATAGTTTCAGTAGTTTCATACACACATTTTTAACAAATTCTTTATATTTAATCACTACTACTCTACTATAATTAACATTAATATGTCCACCGACGGGAATACTAACCCGTTCAAGTATTTTCTAGCTGGTGGTTTTGGTGGTGTGTGCACAGTGTTAGTGGGTCATCCATTAGACACTATTAAAGTATGTTAACCACAATACATTCTGTTATTGAACTAATGATCTCTTATGAATTAGGATGTATTAGGCTAATAAATGCTTCACAAGACTCGGTAAGAACTAATAAGTCATGTGTGAATATGCTAATAATACARGTTTATCTTTATTAGGTATGAGAGAATTTTATAATGTGTTAAGTTTTTGTACATTCATAGGGGTGGAATTATTTGAATCATAGACCATTGATATTTTAATGTCTTTATACTTGTCTGGTAACTCTGATGAATTAGTACCACAGTTCTTAGTTCTTGAGAAGTATACCTGTAATATTTTATAGGTAGGTAGTTAAATGTATATTTATCAACATATTGACAGTTAAATAAGAATATAACATGTAGTTATAATAGCAAAAAAAATAATACTTTGTCGAAATCATCTTCTTTTTATATTTGTGCCTGTTTGAGGAACTGGCAAGAAGAAAATTATTTTGCTAGTTAATATTATTATAATTATTATTTAAACACAAATTAATCAGCATCTCTTATTTTTTATATTATTTGATGTGTTTTATATTATATGATATGAATTTTATGTACTAATTATTATTGTTATTATTTTTATAATGTTATTTTTGATAGTATAATTTTTAATAAATATCTATTAATTTAACGCTAACTGATTAATTTAAAATTGTTTTATAATGTAAAACAATATGATGTAGTAGACTTGTACAATCATAATATTATGTATTTCTTCAGTTTTTCTTGTATAAATATAATTGAAAATAAAATATTTTATTTAGGAATCTAAAACATAAGATTCTATTGCCGGAGTTCTAGTTTTAAAACTTTCTCTATTCCTATAATATTTGTTCACTTTTATTGGGCATTGACTATAAGTATACTGGGTAATGTATTTTTTTATTTATATTAACGGTTAAAATTGTTTAAATAAATGCAGAAATACATCATACATTATGTTAATAGGTGTGTTTGAATTTTGTGAAATATTTTAAATAAATACTTATTTATCTATTTTATATATTTATTAAAAAGTAATTTAATATATTTGTACTTTTTTAAATTTCTTAATAAAGTTATAAGCGATGATTATTTATTATGMATATAATTATGAATTATTTAAATATTATTTTTCAAAATACACCTAAACACATAAAATTCTGATTCCACTTGTAAGTTACAAATTAGAAACAGTTTCAGTTATTCAGTCACAAGATTCCAGCTACTAGGCGTAAACTGAATGATGCTTTACCAAATGCCTACTATATTATACAGGGTGATTTTTTTTTATCATGAACCACTCATTATTTCAAAAAGTATCAATGTTTTTGAAAATATATTTTTACAAAGTTTCATGTTGTTAAAAAAACAACGTTTTTATTAAAAAATTATGTGTTTTAATATTTTTTATCCTTATAATTTTTTAAGTTTTTTTACTTTTTTGAATGACAACCTAGAGTTTTAATTTCATATTCCAAAGCAGAATATTTTTCTAAGTATTTTNTAATTTTTTAAGTTTTTTTACTTTTTTGAATGACAACCTAGAGTTTTAATTTCATATTCCAAAGCAGAATATTTTTCTAAGTATTTTGATACGTAAAAATCGAATTTTGGACGAGTAGTTTATGAGTTATAACTTATAAGTATTTAAAGTTTAGATTGGCGGAGTGGAGTGGTACGAGGTTACCCCRCAAAATGTTTGTCCACTACTCCGCTTGTCTAAACTTGAAATACTTATAACTCATAAACTACTCGTCCAAAATTCGATTTTTACGTATCAAAATACTTATAAAAATATTCTGCTTTGGAATATAAAATTTAAACTCTAGGTTGTCATTCAAAAAAGTAAAAAACTTAAAAAATTATAAGGATAAAAAATATTAAAACACATAATTTTTTATTGTGTATGGTGTTTGAGTGGTTCATGATAAAAAAATCACCCTGTATAAATATAGTAGGAAATAATTTAAAACTTAATGTCTATTTTTGAAAATTGTTATTTTTTTGCCTGTGATAAATAATTTTAAGTTATAGAATTCACTGTATAGGTACAAGGAACTTTTATCCATGAAAAACAATTTTATTGTTGTGTTTTATCTACTGAAAAAAATTTACATGTACACAATTTATGTTATGTAAAGAATATAAAATATATATATTAATATATGTATATATAAATATATACATACAATTATGAAGTTTATTATTTTTCTGATTATTTTATTTTTTACCTTTAGGTTAGATTACAAACAATGCCACCAGCTCAGTTAGGTAAATTACCTATTTACAATGGTGCATGGGATTGTGCGGTTAAAACTATTAAGAGAGAAGGTTTTTTTGGTTTATATAAAGGTAAGTATACTACATATTTTATGTAGTAAAAGTAGAATATTAAATTATTTAAGACTCAGTATAATAATATACTATTAAAGACAATGGTATAGGTGTGTAGTGTACCTACCAACATTATTGTTTAATTTAATGTGAATCATTGATGTGCATATATTCCCATTTTATGGAACATATTCCCTGCAATATATTTGTTCATTGTTAATATCAAATATTTGTGATCTATGCTAAAAATACCAAGTATTATATTAATTAGGTAACTTGAATGTTAAAGACCATTTCACAGATTCTTGACTTAAAAATAAACGTTTTACTTACTAACTAAAAGTATTCTTCTATTTTTTTTTATATGCATAGTATGTTAAACATAGTGTATATATATATAATAGTTTTACATACCTATTAAGTTTAAAAAATGTAGATATCTCAAATATAATATCTGAAATCAAAAGAATATTTTTTGAGTTATATTATCAGTAATTATTTATAAGTGTTTAAATGTAAATGTATGATATTTTATTTGTTTAAATTTAAAAAAAAAAATACGTATACAAAATTAGATTTAGAACCTCTCTAATCCATCACCTATGGGACTAGGGGTGTGGTAGGAACGCGAAAAAAGTCGGATTATCTGAATATACAGAACATTTTTATTAACATATTAAATACAAGATTATATTAGAAATGTATTATATTTCACATCACATAGAAAAAAGTCAGTTATAGATTTTTGTTTAGCAAATTACATTCTAGACTTAGCTAAGACTAATAAGGAAAATATTAAATTAGCAATTAATTTTATATATCTACTATAAATTGGAAAATCCAAATTGTATTTTTAAATTACATACATAGTATTTATATCGATAATACTATGCTTGGATCAACTGGAGCGGCGGACAATAGAGGTTCTACTGTAATAGTTATTAAACCTTTTTAAAAAATACTTAAAAATACAATATTTGTAATAACTACAATTTATCTTGAATCCTCTTGACCATTATTTCTAAGGTATTAAGTTGGAAAACTTTAAACGTTGATTAAAAATTTTTAAATGTAAGTCTACATCTTAAAATCGAATTATATTATATAATCAGTTTATTTATAGAGTGTAGATAGTTTGATAAAATTATTACTTAGATGGAAACACTAGTTGTTATTCAACAAAAATTTTATAATTTTATTTATTTATAATAGTTCTATTACCCAACCCGATAACTAAAACAAATTATTAATAGAATGTTATTATTAGAGATAAGTGAATTACTTTAATGACTATTATATTTTGTAGATACTTCAATACTAATATCAATTATAGTTTTTTATAGCAGAGTTATTCAAACTTTTTCATCCCATGGCTCCTTTGGGTGTTCACAATATTTTGATGACTCCCAAATTATTATGAGAAAATTTAAACAACACACAGATAATAACAGTGACTTTAGTACAAGAAATTAAACTTCAAATTGCCACGTGGTGTGTTTCGTTTTTATTTCCATAATGATTATAGATAATATTTATAATAATTAGGGACGGGCCGATATCACTTTTAACTGATAACCAATAAACCGATATGTTATGCAGATTTAAATCTGATAACCGATGTATTCAAAACTTTGAATTTCTATCCAAAAGCATGAATCGATATTATAAAATAGCCGATAATACTTACTGATAAGTACTGAGTAGTAACTAGTAATACTGTAATAATCAATATTAATATATTATATAATGATTAAATTAAATAATTAATAAATATTTAATTATATTAGTAGTAAGTGGGGCACTTGAGCACACTTTTATTTTTTTATCAACATTAAAAATCAAAAAAAAACATAAACATTAAAAAAAAACCGACCTTATATTTTTATATTAAAAATTACAAAAAATCTAGACTTATCTGTTAAAATTACAAAAAATATAAACTATTTTTAAATGAATCTAAATTTATATTTTACCTATTAAACAATAYAAAACTAGTAGATGTATTATTATTATTATTAAAAAAATTTTCTCTATAAATATAAAATATAAACAATGGATCAAAACAAGAACAATAAAATTATTGGTCTTTATGAAAAGATAAAAAATAATGAAGGATTGTTGCAATCATTAAAAACAGGGGAAGTATTTTTATGTCCAAGATGTCAAGATTTTAAGAGGCCTAATGAATTTACTAAAAACCAAAGATGGTGTAAGGTTTGTATGAAAACCACAGTTAATAATGATTTTAAAATATGCGAATGTGGAAAAAKATTTATTTAAGATGTTATAGCAATCATTTGCTATCCAAATATCACATAAAGAGGTTAGATAATATATCCAAAGAGAACATTTCACAAAAATAAATTTTGTTGTTAAAAAATAAATTCATTCAATAATATAAAAATAAAATAAACAAAAAATTTCTTTTATAAATAAAAATAAAAAATGCAGTCACAGAATCATATTATATTAAAAAAATTAAAGTATCTGAGCTTAAGTTAATAGCAAAAAAATACAATATAAAAAATGTTTGTAAAATGAAAAAAGATTGTTTAATAGAAAATATAAAAAAACAAGTTGCATTAAAAATATTAGATAAAAATCCCTACTGTAAGTTAGATAAAAGTTTATTCAAACAAAAAAACAACTCATTAAAAAATATAGATAAAAATCCCTTCTGTAAATTAGATAAATCATTATTTACTGAAGAAAATTATTTTAACAGTTCACYAGAAAGAACACCAGAAAATTATGAGTTGATAGATGTAATTCAATCTAATACACAATCGAATACAAGATTTAGGATACATTAAGCTAACTATAAAATTAGTTTTAAAGAAGCATTAATAAACGATCTAAAACGAAGTAATACAAAATACAAAATTAATTATATAGATAAAACTTTAAATGAAATGTTAAAGGTTGCTAAAAACAATTCTGCATATGAAAAATATGATAAAATAAGTATTGCGTTATTTAATCCAAAGATAAAAACTCCTATATATACTGGATTGAGATCTGAGAATATTTTAATAAACTTACAAACTATAATTAATGATTTATTAACTTCAAATGAAGAAATTGATATTACAGAAACCATTTTTCAAGTTGAAGTAGTAAATATACTAAGAGGAGCAAAGCGCAATAAAATAATACATTTATCAACAGATATCAATACTAAAAGAAGTATTATTCAGATTAAAAATGATGATAATTTATGTTGCCCAAGAGCTATTATTGTTGCATTATCTACTCAAACAAATAATATTTTAGGACATGAATTAGATGAAAATAAAATTAAGCAATTGAAGATKGGTAGAAAAATTCAAAAAGATTTAGCTTTAGAATTATGTAAAATGTTAACAGAATATAACAAAGAAGGTTTTATATTGGTTGATATTAAAAATGTAGAAAGCATACTAGATATTCAAATAAATATTGTTTGTGCTAAAAATTTAAATATTGTAATTTATAAAGGTGAAGATAAAGAAATAAAAATGTATCAAATATATAATATCATGGTCGGAAAAACCGGTCATGATTTTAGATATCAAAAACTTCATTTTTTAGAGTTTTTTTTTATTGTAATATTTTCATTTGACCTCGCTCCTACGAAGAGCGCGCGGCGGCACTTATTACTATAAGAACAGTTAAAAACCCCAAAAAAAATCAGAGAGATCCGAATCCGCTATTGGCAGGATGTATGCTGTCGCATTAACTATTAGACCACGGGTTTTTGTTTGTAATGAAATGGAAAAAGGTATATTTAAGAACACATATTATATTATATTATATTAAATTATAATATTACTAGAAATTAGTTAATATTATGTTTTAATAAAACAACTTTTTAAAGAATTACATTTTTACATTTAAGACAATATATATTTCCCATTTATAAGAATATAAATTAATATAATGTTTAATTATACTGTATACTTTTAGCCGTTAAGTTGTGTCTGCTTTATGTATTTTTCTCTAGGGAAAAAGTTAATAGTTTCTTTAAAATTTGCTTCTTTTAAACATATACTATCCTCGATTATTTTATTAGACTTATACATCAATGTCAATTGATTATAAAATTTATAAAAAATTCTGTTTTCTATAATTCTTTCATTAAGCTTATAAGATTTTTCAAAAATATTTACAATTCCACTTAATAATGAAAACATTGTAAATAAAGGTAATAAAAAATATCCAATTGGTCCAATTGTACTCAGAAACAATTTTAAAGCTAGTAAACAAAAACTGACTTTTGTATAATAATTGTAACTTTTTCTATAAACTAACATATTTTTTTCTAAATACGTTTCCATTTAAAATTTTAATATGATTATTTATAATAATTATAATTAAAAACGCGTCCCTTTTTCGGGGACGCGTTAGATTATTTTAGATCTATCTTTTACTATATTTTTTATAATCATTTAAAAACTCTAAAAATTAATTTTTGACATCTAATGCCTATGATATTATTATCATTTGTATTTATCCAAAACTATTTAGAACTATTTATAGCTATTTAAAACTTAAACTGATGTGGTCGAATTATACAACCGCGTTAAAATTAGAAATAAATATAAACATTAACTTTATTATTTTAAATAATAACGTGTCCCTTTTTCGGGCACGCGTTAAATTTATGATTTCAGGATTAAATAAGCGACAAATTCAATATTTTTTATTTCATTACCATCTTGATCAGAGATAAAGAATTTAATATATTTAAAATCTTTTACATTTAGAGGAATATATTTAATATCATTAGCTATATATTGTCCTTCAACATCACAGATAAGATATCACCGTCTTCATGCAAATATTGTTCAGTTTTATGGTTAGAAATGGATTTTTCAATTATATTACAATGTATTTCCAAAAGTTTATTTATAAAATATTGACCAWGTATACTATCCGACCCAATATGATTATAGACATATTTATCATCAAATCCTAAACTAAGCCTTAGATTTTCATCCAATAAATAATAATCTTTAGATGTAATTGTTATATAGTTATTTGTTTGTTGGATTTTTATATTAGATGGTAGTAGTTTATTCAATTGATTAATACTGTAATTTTTCTTTTCTATTACAGTTTTGATATCTTTTGTTTCAATAATCCCATTTATATCTTTTAAGAATCTTTGTGTGTAAAATGTTGGTGGTTTTAATCCTATTACTGTGTAAGCAATGTCTGGTGTTGTATACTCAATACCAAATTCTGTTCCTTTCCCTTTAGGCCATGTTTTATTTATAGGAATCATCTGTTTTTTAAAGTCTCCAATGTAATCAAAGCCTAAACAATTTGATAAATATTCATCAAGACATAGACCGATTGAGGCTGTAATATTTATAAAACCTTCAATTAATTCAAGCCTTATTTTAGGAAAATCCTCCACAAATTTAGCTCCGAATTAAWTAAATACATTTTCAATTTCACTTAATGAATATACACCTATAAATATTGTACCTAACGGGATTTGACCATTTCGACCTAATCCAAATTCACATTGTTTCTCTATATTTATATATTTTTCATCTGAAGTAGGATAGTAAATCATTATTTTGTTACTTGTCTTTATAAAATTTAGATCATTTAAACCCAGATATTTTTTTAAGTTTTCATCTAGAGAATATTTAATATCTTATGTAACAAGTTTGCCTGAAAAAATTGTAGAAGGATCAGGTCTTATGAATAATCTTTTTAACAGTAAATTTATGCCAGAAATACATTGGCCTGGTTATAAGTATCTTGGTCCTTTTACTGATTAAGAAAAAAATAAAAAACCAGTAAATAAACTAGATATGGCATCAATGGAACATGATTATTTTTATAAAAAACAAAGATATTAAAACAAGACATATTGGAGATAAAATTTTGGAAAATAAAGCATGGGATAGATTTTTAGATTCAAATGCATCTATAGGTGAAAAAACAGCTGCTTTTGTCACCACAAATACAATGAAAGCAAAGAGATATTTTGGYAWGRGWTTWATTTAATTTWATAATTTTAATTCTTATTAWATGAATTTAGATTTGAATGATTCTCAAGYAAAAAAGCTTGTAAAAGCTTATGAAAATAAGATTGATGTAGTTATTCAATTAAAACATACACAGATTGGAAATGGTAAAAATATATTTAATTTAACTGATAGACAAAAAAATAAACTAATTAATGCTTAAAATAATAAAAAAGGTGTGAGATTAAAAATTACAAGATCTCAATTTGGAAATAAGGATAAAGTAGGTGGGTTTTTACCTCTTATTATAGCAGGTATAGGAGCCCTTAGTGCATAAGCCGGAGGTGCTAGTGCTATTGCAAATACCATTATCGATGCAAAAGATAAAAAATTAAAACGAGATGAAGCAGAAAGACATAATAAAGCAATGGAAGAGAATGTTAAAAATATTAAGACTTTACAAATTGGTTTAGGACTAAAAAAAAATAAAACCATTAACTAATTATGATATTATTGAAGCAGGAAAAAATATAAAAAAATTTAGAGGTTGTTTTATGAAAGATGAGTTACCTGCAGTGCCTTGGAAAAATGAATGTGGAATATTGAATTTAAATTATTCTAATCAACCTGGTTCACATTGGGCGGTGTGGTTAAAAAATGATAAGAAAAAGGTATGTTTTGACTCTTATGGAGATTCAATTTCAATTAAAGAAATCGTAAATTATTTAGGAAAAGATAATTTATATTACAACACTGAACAATTGCAAAATTATAATGATCCACCTATATGTGGTCATTTATGTTTTGATTTTATTCAGAATTATAAACTTTAATAAATTTTTTCCTTATAAATGGAAAATATATTTATACTGTTTTTATAGACCAAAATCAAAAAACATTGATCCCAATTATAATTTAAGAAATAAATAAATAAATTTAAATAATTAAAGTTAATGATAACCATAAGACATTGTATAAGGCTAATAATGGTTTTAAATATATTCTTAATGTTATYGATACATTTTCTAAATATGTTTATTCAATACCTTTGATGATAAAGTCTGGATTGGAAGTATCTGAAGCATTTTCACAAATATTTAAATATATTGTACCAAAAGAATTACATGTTGATAAAGGAAAATAATTTTATAATAAAGATTTAAAACAATTACTAAWCAAATATAACATAACAATGTATAGTACTGGTACTGATAAAAAGAGTTCTATGATCAAACTATGATATTAGTAATTCTATACCTAAATTTGAGATAAATGATAGAGTTAGATTATCATCAATAATTKATGTATATAGAAATAAATTAAAAACAAATTGGTCTAAGGAAATATTTACAATTGAAAAAGTTTTTATATCAAATGTTGCTTATTATAAAATTTATAATATAGAAGGTACATTTTATGAAAAAGAATTACTGTTATCATTATTATAACTGTATGTATAATGTTTTTTGTATTGTTTAATAAGTAAAATATAAATTTAGATTCGTTTAAAAATAGTTTATATTTTTTGTAAATTTAACAGATAAGTCTAGATTTTTGTAATTTTTAACATAAAAATATAAGGTCGGTTTTTTTAATGTTTATGTTTTTTTATGATTTTTAATATTGATAAAAAAATAAAAGTGTGCTCAAGTGCCCCTCTTACTACTTATATTATACAATTAATATTTAATACAAATAGAGTTAACACAGTTGACATAAATAATAAATATTAAATATTAAATATAAAAGTTAAAAATTTAAAATAGGTACTTAAAATGAACACTTTTCTTTCTTGTTAGTTGATAATAAATTATAACTTATTAATTTAAGTTATACATTTTTAAGTTTTAACTAAAGTCTATAAGTTTAATTTTAACTTTTTAATAAAACAAATAAAAATTATAATAAAAAACAAATCACATAATATTTAAAAAATAATAATTTTCTCTTTTTCAGTTATTAAACATTCCTTGTTTTAAGTATTTTTATAACAATTTAAGTGTTTAATTAATATCAAATATCATTAATAATTACAATCAAATATTTAATCTATGTATGATAAATTGTTTTTTTTTTCATATCGGTCCAAATATTGGTTTTTAAATAAAACCGATATTGCCAATATCGGCCGATAATCAATATCGGTTTGTATATTGGTTCAGCCCTAATAGTAATCATACAAGACTAAGGAATAACGTTGGTTTATAAATATTAATATAAATTGAGCACTGACTATTGTTTATTATAGAACTGTTTCTTAATGACAAATATTAAGGAACTACAATATATAAGTTGACCTCAATGATTGGATTTTGTATAATACACCACTTTTATTTCACAAATTACTTAAATAAATGTCTAATTATGAATAGTTTGTATAAAATATTGTATATTTGTATGGACACTTTCGAAACATTTGAAAATTCAAAATACCTATTAAACTTGTTTATTAGCCATTTCATATTTTTAAATTTTGCTAATAGTTATCTTTGTAATATGATTTTTAAATATTTTACAAAATGTATAGAATATGTTTCACATGATTTTAATGTCGAATGTAGATGCTACGGTATTCATGTTGTATGCGGTCTACCACACACTTGTCGTCTACCACGTATGTTTCTACACGTCATGTGCGATCTACTGCCGCGTATTTATGTATATTTTTTTGGTCATTATTATGGTTTAAACTTTGAATTATTAAAAAAATGCATGATACATCTCTATCATTGCTGCCCTCGTATTTGTCGTAACAATGGTGGCGTCTAAAAAACAAGAATAACAACACATTTGATTGTTATTTAATAGATGTGAAATTATATTGTACCTAATTTAAATTGATTGACAATGCATATCTCTATATAATTTTACATTTTTTGTCAGTTAGTTTTTAATACATATACTAATTAWATTTATCTACATATTTTTATATATTTTTTTGCATTATTAAATATTATATTGAAATTCTACATTAATAAATATATTGTAATCCTACATTTATGTATTCATTCATATTTTTAACTATGTGGTAGACTCTGCATGCGTGATAGACGACAAATGAGTAGTAGACCGCATATGGCGTGTAGAAACAGACGGTAGACCGCATACAACATGAATACCGATGCTACATATTATATGATTATTTGTATAACCGTGAATAATAATTAAACACAAAATTAAGCTAAAACTAAATGTCAAGCTTGAAAATCTAATCATGAATTATTATAATTTTAATAATATTAGTGTATCAATATTTTTTTCTTAAATATTCTTGTTTTAATTAGCTTACATTTATAACATACTTATTTTTTAGGTATGGCAGCTCCAATAACTGGCGTAGCTCCAATATTTGCCATAAGTTTCTTAGGTTTTGGACTGGGGAAAAAAATTTTTTCATCCACTGGAGATAAAAAAGAAAATTTAACTCTCTCAGAACTATTTTGTGCTGGATCATTCTCTGGTATTTTTACAGCTATCATAATGGTACCCGGAGAACGCATTAAATGTATTTTACAAGTACAGGAATTGGGTCACCAAAAATATGATGGCCCAATCAGTGTTATTAAAAACTTATACACTGAAGGTGGAATAAAAAGCTTATACAAAGGAACATGTGCTACATTGCTTAGAGGTAATTAATTTTAATTATTATATAATAATATTTATATTATACCATTAAAAATTCCAAGAATGCAATAACTATACTCTTAAATTTGGTACTATTTTTATTGTTTATTGTTAATATTCTTTAAAAATAATAATTAGTCTACAGATATTCTAATAATATATTATAATGTATATTATATTTTAAATGAATAGTGAGTATTTCAATATTAATTTCATAATTTGTTTTCTACTTTTAAAACAGAATTTTTGCTTTATGTTTTCTTTTCATTTTAGAAATTTCTTCTTTCAACAATAACTTACTTACATATGTTCCATTGTTCAAACGTATACTTCTTTCTGTAGTAATGAATACTTTATTATCAATTATTGATTCCGGTGTTGATTCTGTTATGTTTGGTGTTGTGATGGTATTATATCTGATACTTGTTGTATGATTTAAAATAAAATCAAAAAAAATAGTCTTTAATGTTGTGGTATTTTGTCTGATGTCTTGTTCACTAACTTGTTTATAAAGCTTTTGTTTTTTATAATTTTTTTTCATGTTATGTTTGCTGTACGATTCACTATTGCAATCCATGTACTTTCTCAAAGCATATGAAACTGTCTTTCCTTTTAATTTTGTTGGACTTGAACATATTGGTTCTAATTTTTTGTTATAAATATATGTAGTTGTATTTATAATTGTACAGCTATATCTTTTCTTTAAATGTTTCCACTTGCAATTATGTTTATTTATTTCTTTTACACTTTTAGTCATTAATGAAATATCCCACAATTTCATCTTGCATGTACAATGTAGTGAGTTCATATCTAATCGTATTAATTTAAGATTAGATATTTTTTTAAATATATCATCTGGTAAATCAATCAGTTGATTGTTATTTAAAATTAATTCCTTGAGAGACAATTGTTGATCAAATAACCCAGGAGGCAATTCTTTGATTTGATTATAAGACAAATCTAAATGTTCTAAATTATAAATTCCATAAAATGAATCCATAGACACAGATTGTATTGAACAATTACTGATTATGAGACGTTTAATGTTTGGTATTTCAAAAAAAGCATCAAAAGCTATATGTTGTATGGAACCTTTTATTTTAAGTTCTACAAGATTAGGAAGTCCAATCATAAAGGGCCTTTCTAAAATTGTCACATTTACACCGATTAAATTCAATTTTTCTAAACGATCTAAACCAATAAATGCATTTTTATGTAAATGTAGTAGTGTGTTATTTGTTCCCAACGTAAGCTCAATTGTAGCATTTAACACTTCAAATGTATGTGGATACACTATTTCAATTGGATTATTACTTAAATCTGCAACTTTTAATTTTGGTAATGGTGGGAATGTTGTTTCTGATAACACAGTTATAGCATTGTTTTTCAAATTTAAATAATTCAAATCAAGAAGACCAGCTAAACTAGTAGTCTGCAAATGTTTAATTTTATTATTAGCTAAAGATAAACTTTTTAGTACACTAGCGCCATAAAAAGAAAAATCTGGAATGTATTCAATAGCATTGTTATCTAGAATAAGGGTTTCCAACAAATCCAATCCATTAAATAAATCCCATGATATATCTTTTAGATCACAATTCGTAATTCTTAAAAACAACAAATCTTTATTGATTAAAAATAGGCTATTGGATTTTACTGTTCTTTTAGTTTTCTTATAGGTTTCATAAGGAATCATGTCAATATCCTTGGGCTGTAAAAATATCAAACGGTTTTTTATATGATGGTTATATTCTTTATGTAAATACGTAGGTAAGACTGGTGAAAGTTCATTAAATGCGTATGAATTTTCTTTTTTATAAACATTAGTATCTATTATTGGAATTGGTTCATTATTATCTAAAGTTAATTTATCTAATGATACACTTTGAATGTTTATATATTTTATATTATCCATATATTTGAACATTTTATCTGTAATATAGATTTTTGATGGATTATTATTGCCATGAATTTCAAATGAAATTAGTTTTGGCAGCTTAATATCATCTTCTATTGTAATATTGTCTGAATCAGTTGTCTGAAATAAAATTAATGCCTGAAAAATATATAGATATATTTTATTATGTTTCATAATTTATTATTATATGTTTTAAATTTAATTATGTGTTGAAATCTAAAACTAAACCAAAATTATAAGTTTTAAAGGTTATTGGTTCAAAGTAATGTTAATGTACATAATTTTTCATTAAATTTTGATTAGTTTATTATTTTGTATTAGCAAATACCAAATTAATAACTTTAGATTTTGAAATACTTAAGTGTATTGATCTTACTATGTGTGTGTGTTTTTATTTTTTTTTTGTTTCTGTTATCACTTTTTAGAACAATAGAAATATATTTGGTTTTTTCAACAGCATATTTTCTGATAGAAAACTGAGTCTAGTTGGTACTGTGCGGGGAAGGAAGTCTAAATAAAAAATTTCGATTGCGTCAGAAAAAAAATATATTTAGGAAAACTCGAGACTTTTACGCAAAACTAGTTTTTGAAGAAATTGATTTTGGTTTTTACTGGAACTTTTATCATACATATACGAAATTTTTATTGAATGTTTATATTCGAAATTTCTATGCATTATAACATTTTCGAAATATTATGATTTTTTCAAGAAATTTGTAGGCGTGATAAAATTTTGAATTTCATTGTTTTTTAAAAAAAAAAATTATTGCTAATAACATTTTTTTTACTAGGTCAAAAAATTTAAAATTGTATTACAACATTCTTCATAAAATGTTTGTTGATAGGGCAAATTAAAAAAAAAGTTAAGTGTAAATGAGTGTTCTATGAGCGTCTGAATTTTATCAAAATCTCAGATCTGTTTGAATTAGTTGGTCATTTAAAAATTATGTAATTTTCTATTTATATAGTTAAGAAATCAAAATTTAAAATGAGAAATTTTATAAATAGTTCATACCATGTCCAAAAAAATCTTAAAAATACATAGACAAATTTCTTTTTTTATAGACATTTTAAGTTTGAATTTGTATGAAAGAACATAATATCAAAAAACTAAGAATGACGGTTTTAATTACTTTGTTGTGATTAAAAAAAAAATTTTGTCTTGTAGGTAGTGTTCTTTTAGAGAAGGTATATTATTAAATATTTAAATATAATATATACAATGATATTTTCAAATGTAATTTTTTTTGTAAAAACCTAACCTAACCTTTAACAGTATGTAGTGCTTATAAGGAATAAGCACTACATAAAAATAAATAAATTAAATTCATCTTCTACAAAAATACTTAGTTTTTTTATATRTTGATAGATCGTCTTTGCTCAGAATTGTTTTTCGTATACAATGATTTTACATCATTGAATTCAAATTCAACACATTTATTACAAGGACTATCTAGGCACTTAATGTACAGCAGAGTGTTACACACATACCAGATGTTTTTATTCTTTTCAAATATATTATTTTAAATTTTTGTGGAATTAATCCAATAACTCTTCGAATTAGCTATATTCATATGTTCATGAGGAAATTTATTAAAAACTGTATTTACTTACCTCTGTGTCTAATGGAAGAAAATTTAAAAATTCTTTTGGTTTTGTTACATTCATAAACATACATAAGGCAGTTTTAAAAAACTGTGAATTGTGATGAGCTATTTGTTCTTCTTCATTTTCTTCAATAACCTTTAATTAAGAGCATTTGATTTAAGTAATTTTAAAAATTATTTAAGTACTTATTAAACTATTCTTACTTCATTATGTGTATATGAGGTATGTGGTTCAGTTTGTAGTCCACTGTACATCCATTTAACTATTGGTAAGTCAATAAAATCTATGTTCTTACAGTTACATGCTCTTGGACAATCTATGGCCCATTCTAAATTTATGTCTGAACTTTTTACCTGCTTCAAAATCAAAATGTATTATGTATTTATCTCCATAAAAATATCATATAAGTTTTAAATAAAAATCATAAAAAATGAATGTATGTGTTATATAAGTCATGCACAAAAATATATTCATTAAAAAAAATTGATTTATATTTTTTAAAAGATATTTGAATTTTATAGTATTAAGGTCATTGAAAATTTTAATGACACAAATATGATGCTTTATAAGAAATTGTAAGTTAAAAAAATGAAATGGCTTGGTAATTAGATGATGCTAATATATTAATTTATCATGAATATATATTAGAATGAAAAATATGTAAATGTTTATTAATTTTAATTATAATTACTGTTTTTATTAAGGCAAGCAAAATATGACATTTAATTAAGTATAAAATGCATTTCARRAGCAGAACAAAGTTTTAAATTAATACAAAACATAAAATTTGATGTAATTTCATAACCAGTTTATGATAAAAAAAATATTCCATTATCTAATTGAACTAAAGGCATTTTCGAAATTATTAAAAAAAAATTATATCTTATTATTTACTTTAAAATAAATATAAAACAAACTAGTGTATAAAATAACCAACAACACATTTACAAGATTTAGAAAGAATCAGCAATTATACATTTATTTACAATATGACATTATTTAGAAATAAAAAAGTTAGTTAGTTAGTCTTGTTAAGAAACATTTTAATCTTATTAATATATTTATAAATTCTATACTTATAAATAAAAAATATTTAATAATAAAAAATTAATTCTATCAAACAAAAAGTTATAACATTGTTATATTATTTAACAAATTAAACTAAAAGATGAACCTGCTTTAATTTATTAAAATAATAATCAATATTTATATTGTATAGTTCTAAAATATCTAATATTTTTTTAGTTACATTTGAATCTAATTTAAAATTAAAACACAATATAAAAATTATACAAATGCACACTTAATAGCAACAAAACATATGTGCAGTGGCGTGGCGAGGTAAAAGTTACATGTGGGCGAAGTAGACTTAAAGAGGCCCTTTTAAAAATTTTTTTAACTTCTGTCATATTTCTCTATGGTTAATTATAAAGCCCTATGGAACGCGAGGCCCTTTGAGGTGTGAGGCCGTGGGCAATGGCCCACACCGCCCACGCCTAGCGCCGCCACTGCATATGTGCTGCAGAGTCTTAAAGTCAACATAATATTTTTATAATTCTTAAAACGTTTAATCAATTTAAAACTTTTTAAGCATGGAAAATGTATTATCAATAACCTAATATGCATTTAATTTTATGAACAATTATTTTTTAAGTTTTCACACTTAAAATCAAATAGTTAATAATATGTAGTATTTGTAATTGTATAACAATTGTTGGTATATTACAATAAAAATATAAATGTTTTTAAGATTTTGGCTTTATTTCAATATTTTAAGCCAATAAAATTATTATCATGTAAAGAGGTTTCAAAACTTCTATGTAGGATTCATGAAATTTTGCATTCTTATGTTTTTTTTTTTTTTATGGGTAGATTATTCTAGGTTAGTTATAAATTTGTTTGATGAAATTGAAAAGTTGAAGACAAAGATTATATTTATAAATATTTTGCCATATTTTTGAAAAAGTGTATATTTGAACAGTTTTTATCATATTAGTGTATATTTTATTTTTATTCATGTTAAACTGCAGGAAAATTSATATTTGGATAACATTTAAAAATATTTCTTAAAATAAGTTTTGTATGGATAAGTAAAATAGGCCCAAATAGAGTTTGATGTTTGGAAAGGCTGAAGCTCCACTAATTACAATTAAATAAGCTTAAAAAAAATGTAGAAATGTTTGGGAGGGTTATTGAAATTTTTGGTGGAAACATGGCTCCTAAATCTCTCCCCTACATTTATTTGTACTGATGGTAGGTATAATATGACACATAACAATAACATATGATTTTTGAATTTCTAATCAACCTTGAAATCTTGTTAACTACAATTTCAACTACAATTTAATGTGGTAAAATTTTGATGTATATATTCTAGATTATATTTAGAAATGAAAACCAGTAAATATGTGTTTGTATCACAATATTTTCATATCAGACTATTTCTTATTTCTAAACCCAGTAAATGTGCCAATTTTTTAATTAAGCTGTTTTATTTCACAATAGTTTGAAAAGGCCCAAAGCATGCAATATTGCCTATTTATTATCAATATATTTATTATATTTAATAAACCTATGTATAAATTATTTTTATTAATATGTTTATGTACCTACTTATTTTTGAGTTTCTGTCATTCTATTTCTAAAATTTTAATATCATGTTTTKTATTTTTAAGCATATTTTGACAATTTTCTGCACATTTTGATCATTTTCAGTGCATTGTATCCCAAAACCTTGTATATAAGTATATAACTATTACAATTTTATTTTGAATTTTAGATTATGTATATCAAAATATAATAATTTATAATCACTATTTATCAACTATTTTGTTATAATTTTTAATCGAGCTTCAGACCTACTGACATCTCTGAAATAGTAAAAAGCCATGGAACTATGTATAGGTATATCATATTATTTGTCAGGCTAAAATAATATGATGCCTTTATAAATTATCCTAATAAAAAATTTAAAATGTTATTTGGTATTTAATATTTATCATACTAAATTGCTATATTCAAATTTTGCATTTAAAAAGTTAATTAAGAATATAATTCAATAGATCCATTAGGCATCTTCTATTATTTTTCAAAAGATAAATTTATCTTTTATGTTAGGTCTACCTAACATCTACCTAACCTAACTAAATTTTACATGATTATTTTTATTTATCGTTAGTATTTTATACTAGTTTATTTTGGTCTTAGTTTCTTGATAACTATATTCAAACTTTTTCGTACAATTCTTGGTATCCCAAAAATAAAATATCCTTATATTCTATTTATCAATGTATTTATATTTTACATTTACTCAATTATTTTTCCATTCCAAAGATTTGTTATTGTAAGTTGAATGAATATGTTAATTATTTTTAAGTAATCATATCTATAATTGTTATTTATTTACTATTTTATCAAAAACAATATCTATATAACTATACATAGTATAGTTTTATTGCATAATGAATAAATAAAAATTGGAAAAATAAAACTAATAAACAATTTCATAGTGAAATTACCTTAAAAAAAACACCCATCACGATAATATACCACAATAAATAAAACTTGCTATAAATCATTTTATATGTATTTTTAAAAATTATTTAATTTACAAAAATATTTACTTGTAATATAATATATCATAATAATTTAATTTAATTTGTATAATTCACGACTAAATGAAATGTCTGACTATTCAATGTTATTATCTTATTTTACTTTCCTTCCTGTTATAACTAAACAGGAACTTGATTAATATATTGGTCGTGGGAGTTAAATTATACTTTGTAAATTTATCAGTTGTATATTACAAGGATACTAGTTGTTTGGCACTACATATTAAATAAAATAGTATTATATAGATATATGAACTAATTTAAAAAAAATGTTGTATATTATATTACATATTATACTACTATTACATATTATAATAGGTATTTGCATATACTATATATTGTATACGTATTTATATAATATTATTGTTATTAAGAATATGTTACACCAACATTTGTTGTCTCCTTCTTATAAGTTAGAAATATACTAAATTTAACATTCAGCAGATCACTGTTAGTTCTTTTAATTTAAAAATTAGATTGAATTAACCTCTTAAAMATTTAAAGGTAAGATTATTACATAGGAAATATTATAGCTTTGTTATTGTATTTTAATTTTAAAGAGGGTTATGAGTTCTTTAAGATGTACAAACAATTTACAATTTTTAAAATACAACTCCTTTTAAAATTAAAATATATTAAAAAGCTTATGTTATTGCCTAGATAAAAATCTTACTTTTAAATTTTATAAGAAGTCAATTCACTCTAATTTTTAACTAATGGGGCTAAACTTGATTTGCTGAGCATACAATTTGTTATGTATCACACACACAAGACAGATAACACGCATTTTGGTGTAATGCTCAACCTATTTAGTCAATACTGGTTAAAGGTGCTTAGAACGGTGTAAATTGGGTTGTGGTATAAATAGATTAAAATTAGTTTAAATGTTAAATGTTAAAATTTCATTATGTGCTTATTGAAAAATAATAGTTTTAGATTAGATAGTATAGTATACCATCTATAATAAAATAATTACTTATATTAATTGTGTATGTATAAAATATACCCATGCCAAAATGTAATTAAAAAATTAAAAATGGAACCCAATTTACAGTAACCAAAAAAAAATAAAAAAAATATCCARCATGAGATTGATTTATCAAAATATTATAGAATATATTTAAATAAATGAACGCCAATTTATGGAATTACATGGGATCATTATTTTGGTGTCAAGTATGGAAGWATAATAAATAAATAATATAATAATAACAATCACATATCATTTTGGCTACTTAATAAATATTTGTGTATCTACAAATTTTGATAAAAATTATCTTGTAACTACAGTACGGAATCCTTCTTATAACAGAAAATGTCAATAATCCCTGTGCAAATAATATATGCAATTTCTACCTCTCTATGACAGAAAAATGTTTGGTCCCATGTGATACCGTTTTTAGAGAGGTTTCACTGTATATACATAAAAAAAAAACATAATAATAATAAAAATAAGACAAGAAGACAAAACATCTTGATTAAACTGATTGAATGTGTAAATTGACCCATACTTGTATGATTTTTCCTCATATTTTAATAAATAGGTACTGTAAATTAGTTTGTTTATTTATTAAAGTTCCGATTTTTATGTAAATTTAAGTTTTATCAGAAAGCACGACAACAATATTTGTCTTGTGTATCAAAGAATATTACAATGCAACTTTTATTTTGCATTTTATTACCTTTTTAATTTTTAGGGAATATATTTATATTAAAGGCATTTTCAGTATATTATTAGCAAATTTATAGATGTAGATCAGATTATCTCTTATACTGTATATTTTACATTTAATGACAGATACCACAGTTGCACCTTGCACTTCACTGTTAATTTTAAAGAATTGTACTAATATAGTTGAACCTTTTTTATATCATGGTATAAATATATAAATATTTTATTCATTGGGTTCAGAAGTTATAGGAGTTATTGTTCTATACACTTTTGATTTATAGCAGACCTTGATAGATATCCGAGCTATACAATGCTGAGTTTAAAAATTGAAAATTAATCATGCATATTTTGTTAATTTTATAGAAAGTGCATATTTCATCAATTTTAATAGATTTTCGCATATTTGTATGAATTTTTGTATTAATTTCAAATTATTTATTTTGTATTCAAAAATAATGAAAATATATTTATTTAACTATTTTTTCAGTTCAATTAAATCTCAAATGTCAACTAGTTATACTCGCCATATTTTAGTTTTCAATAATACAATTTTTTTAAATCTAGGTTTTTTAATTTTTTTTGTGTATATTAATAAATAAGTAATAAACTTAATGAATAAATAATTTTTTTTATGTGTATATTTGCATGCATATTTTGCAGTTTTTGGTTCCTATAATTTCCAAACCCTATTTATTACATAATATAATCATACAAAATTAAGCTAGTAATCGTAAAAATCTTACGTTCAGAAAAGTTATATATAAATTAAACAATTGAAAAAATAAGTATGGTGCCATTTAAATTAAGTTTAATAATATAAGTTATAAAAAGTGTATTTAATTTAAAGTAATAATTTCCTTGAGCGTTTTTTTAAATAATCGTTTTTTTAGTGTGTTGAATAGTATTTTATAATGCCATTTTTGAGGTTTTTTTAGAACATTTAAATACACACCTTAGTAATTATCCATATCATTTAAACTGATAATGTGGAGTTTGATTTATGAAAAAGATCTTTTATCTTTCAGTTTTCATTTATTAGCTTATGAATTACCTACATTAATTAATCCAATTATATAATATCTACTGTTTAAAAAATAAATTACTTTCATATTTCTTTTGTTAACAGATATTCCTGCGTGTGGTGTGTATTTTACTACGTATGAACTATTAGTGAGATATCAAAAAAATAACAACTCGGAAGGACTCGTAAACACAATATTTGCTGGAGGTATGGCTGGTATACTGAATTGGTTAATTGCTATGCCTGCGGACGTACTCAAGAGTCGTTTACAAATCGGTTAGTTTTCCTCCTCTATGTATATTTAATACTATTATAGTAAATAGTACTAAATTAATTATAGTACTTACAGGTACTTTTAGAATGTATTTTTTTTTCAATTTATATGTAATAAAATAATTATTTGTGGACGAAAACATTTGAAAATTTAATACAGCGTTTCTATTATTGTTGTAATTGTAGCAATATAATTATAATAATCTTAAATTATAATTATCAATTTAATAATATCGAAAATAAATAATATGCTCAATTTTTTTGTTCTTATAATTTACATTTGAAATTCTAATTTTTATGAAATTTTATATGTAAATTCAAAATAACAATTACATTTACGTTGTATTTCAAAAAATGTTAATTATAGGGATATAAACTATTCACCGTAATGTATATTATTAATTTTTATACTTAATAAAATGTTTTTAAATATTTAGACTAATTTAAAGATATTTGTGACATTATTCACAACATTTTTTATTGATATCATTATATACTTGCAGCACCCAAAGGAATGTACCCAAGAGGCATTCGAGATGTATTTGCGAAACTATACAAAGAAGAAGGACTGAAAGCATTGTACTCCGGTGTGACACCAGTTATGCTTCGAGCATTCCCTGCAAATGCTGCGTGTTTCTTAGGTGTAGAGCTAGGGTTAAAGAGTTTAGACTTTATTTTTCCTCCGAAAAATAATAAATCCCTAGAAATTAACTAATATATTATGTTTTCAAATTTCTCACAGTTGAGACTCATACAATTTTTTATAATTATTGTTATTTGGTTTTATATTTTGTTGGGTGGTATGGGTGATTGTACTCTAAATATTTATACAGGCTGTGCATAGTAGAATATGTATTATATACAATAATTTATGCTATTTGTATTAATTTTTAAAGTTATCCTAATTTTTTTTTTTTTTTAAATTGATTGAATATCATCAGTGGCGCCTAACCCCCCTAATAAGTGTTGTTAAAACAATTGCTTAAAATGAGGTGTCTAATGGTCATTAGGTCCTTAAGGCAGCTCAAATAACCTTGATAGTATCATAAAGTATTATAATAGTATAGTAATAACCTTTACATTTTTAACAACCACGGGTTTGGTTTGAATATTTTTGGTGGGTGGTACCTTCTGAAAATAAATTTAACAACAATACTTTTTTGAGAGCTMGGTGCCACTGAACATCACATACTTATGTGTAAATTATTTAGTATGAATGTATTACGTAAAGATAATAATTTTAGATTAAGTTAATTTTAATGAATTTCTTTTTACTGTGTTATACTTTGTTAGATTAGGCTTTTTTTTTWAATTGAAATACTGATATTGTGCTCCCCTAAGTATATAATAAGAATACTGATATAAAGAATACATTATATTTTACTATTTTATTGCATGCTAATATTTATTTAAAAATATATTTCTTTGGAATTTAGACACAAATGGTTCTATTTATGACAAAAAAATCATCTATGCAAATCTGATGTATTTCATTTTTTTTTTTTTACTTCTTAATCTATATTTAAGTTTAAAATGACCTTTAGGTACAGTATCATAACAACTATATTTATATTATATTCAACAATTATTTTATTTTATTATTAAATTTTAAAGGTGGAAAAATGACAATTATTTTAGTTAATTGAAATTGGTGCTGAATTGTTTGTTCAAATGATTTGATTAAAAATCATGTTATTCTGATAACTGTATCATTATACGAATGGATCTTCGCAGGAAAATGTTTTTGTGTCCGTATATAATATTGCCTATATTTAGCCCCTTTTTTGCAGCTATCAAAATGTGAAAACATCATTTTCATTATAAATTATAATACTATATTTTATTATAATTAGATTTAATGATTTTATATATTGCTAAATTAAAATTAAAATAGTTAAATGCATTAATAGTTAAATAAATTTAATAATACACAATTCGTTGCGAATACTTCAAGCGAAAATTATAATTAAGCTAGTATATTTTGTATTTTTTTTTTTTTTTTTAATGCAAAATCATCTTCCCAGTATTTCAAATACAAAATTAGATTATAAATACATTTTACTAACTACTTGGCCTATAATTGAACACTCATAGTGTAAGCGTTACTATGTTGTTCCTTTCACAGAATCTTGAACATCATTTAATACTCTTTGAATAGGAACCAGTATAATAGATGGTACAATAGTATTATATAAAATAATATTGCTACTTGCCAATTTTTCTCTATCAGCTAAAACATATTTTAAAACATTGCAATAAAATTAGTAAATCACTTACAGACTAATCAAAACCTATGCAAACTGAGGATATGAATACAATTAACGTAAAAAAAAAAAAATTGAAAAACAACCACGTTTCTTCATTAAAATATTTTAAATGTTCATTTATATGACGATCATTCTTATAGCGTTAAAAAAATGAATTTCTTAATTATTGAATGGTAGCTTATAAATGACGACCGTAAGTGTATATCGTGTTTTTATCGAATTGTGTATTATATTAAATTTATTTAACTATTTGAATTTCAATTTAGCAATATATAAAACCATTAAATCTAATTATAATAAAATATAATATAATTTATAATGAAAATTATGTTATCACATTTTGATAGCTGCACAAAAGGGGCGAAATGTAGGCAATATTATATACGGACACAAAAATTTTTTTCCTGCGAAGATCCATTCGTTCATTATAGATTATATCCGTCTAAGTTATCATATCTCAATAAACAAGACACTGAGTCGTAGGCACGGACTAAGATAGTATGGACTGGTATCGACATGGTTGGGGAGTAGTAGAGGAACGGTCCTCAAATGTTTCGACACCGCCACTCCCCCGTCCTAAGWGGCCGCCGAAAGGTACAACTAGGGGTAAAAGCGCTCCTAGTGTCAAATAAAGTTACTAATATTGTATATTTAGATTTTAGATGTTTATATTTTGTCATTTTGAACAAATTTTGGTCACCGAAATTCACCGACATTATGAATATTAAATTTTAATATTGTCCGTAGTTGCTCTTTTAATAAATGTTGATACAGTTTTTAAAATGCCTCGACGTTGTTCTGTTGTTAAGTGCACTAGTTTTAACAAAACATCCAATGTTCCATTATTTAAAGTATAC